CCCTCACACCGGATAGATCCGGACGATGTTGAGACGGTGAATTTCTCTTCCTCTGGTAGTTCCTCATACTCGGAGAAATCCGAGAGTTCGAACGTGAAGTGCGTAGATGCACCTGAGTCAAGCACCCATCCAATAGGATAGCGTGCATGCAACTTTTCATGAAGAGATTTCTCACGATCAGTGTCGCGTACGACCAATGCCTTATCGATGCAGATATCACACCACTGAGAACTTGAATGTACACATTGTCCATTCATTACGTCTGCAGATACATGCGAAGAAAAACTACCGACTACATATGGTTCACCTGTAAAGGGTTTAGCACCAGATACGTTGTCAGCGGCATCGAGAAAACTGGTTGCGCACCAGATCGACTCGCAATCGAGTGACACCGCCCGTTCTCCGCCCTGTTCGGACGGCTCCTTGAGCGACATACCCTCGAACTCCTCAATGTCGTCCTCATAGCCATACTCGGCGACTTGGACCGGGGTGGGCGCCATGGAACGGCGAAGGTCCTCTTTCTGTTGCTGGTACTCCGCGTACGCCTCCGCATTGAGCCAGCCCTTGTGGCCGGTCGCAGAGTCGTCGACATAAGAACCACCGCCAGCGAGGCGGTCACCGAGCTTCTGACGCTTCTTGTAGTCAGAGAACTTGGTGCGCTTGGGAGGACCTAACCCAGACACATATTGGTCAGAGTCAGAAGCGCGCGGAGGGGTAACCGACGGCTTACGAGAAGGCTCCTCTACCGGCTCGATGCGAGCCGACAGAGGCGGGGACGCTGAGGGGCCCATGGAGAGCCGCTGAATAAGCGGCGTCTCCCCCGCGAACGCAGGCAACTCGGCGCGCGTTCCCTCGAACGTGGGCGCAATGCCCTGGTCTCGCTGGCGCTTGAGTGCGCCTGCGGTTCCGTGAGGGGGCGCCGGAGCGCTGCTGCGGCCTTGAAAGGCCGTCGCGGGTTGGTGGGACCGCTTGCGCGGATCGGGGGTAGGTGCGGAATACACCGGTGGAGAGTATGAGGGGCCAGACGGCCCGGAAGCGACGTGCGCGACGTGGTAGACGGGAGCCGGCGTTGTAAACGTTGCCGAGTAGTTGGCAGCGGCGGGTGCGGCACTCTGCGGCGCCGGAGATGGCGTCGCGTTGGCAGGAGCCGACGACGAAGCCGCGTTAGCGGCCGCCGGCTTCTGTTGCTGCTGCTGTTGCTGCTGCGCCTGGTGCTCCTTGCGCTCCTTCTTGGAAGGACGCTTCTTCTTGCCGTCGGATGACGACTGGCCGTTGTACTGCTTCGTACTGGAGCTGGCCTTGTTGGCCTGCTCCTCCTTCACCTGAGTGACCTTCTTTTTCTTCTGTCCGGAGGACCGCAGATCCCAGGATGCCTGCATGCCCTGGATGATGTCGCTCGTCGCCAGATTGGTGAGGAGCTGCGTGGAGTTGTTGATTTGGTGTTTGAGCGGCTCGTAGCCAGCCGGTATTTTCGAGAAAAGTATGACGGCCCGAGTGGAGTCGGTTATGACGCCACCCAGACCTGCGAAACGAGAGAATGCCGCCATGATCTTGGCGAGAGCAGGGTTGGGGTCGGTGTCGGCCGGGATCTGGGTGTTGAGGGCGATCTTAATTTCGTTGATCGCCGCCGTGATCCCTTGCGCGCCTGCGCGCACCTCCAGTGTGGCGAACATCTGGAGTGCCGTGTCGTTGTTCAAGATGAACTGGTTCATGTCGTGGCTGACACACTCCCTGATCTTGCCGATCGCGGTGTCGTTGGCGTCCTCCCACTTGTTGATCTCGGCCTCAGAGGGATTGGTGGCTAGCATGACTGCGCGGGGCATGCGCAGCGCTCTACCCGCGCCAGAGGCGCGGATATGGTTCTCCATGCGGGGCTTCCAAAGCAGGAAGTCGGTGCCGGCAAAGATGCCGACAGCGGTCTGGGCAGCGGTTTGATGAGAAGTAGACATTTTGATGAATCTGGGGTTAGGATAACGTCAGCGTGGGTACACTAGACGGATTACATCATGCCCAGGCGAGTCCGCGGTAGACTAGCGGTCTAGACCTCCAGAGCCGCTCGAGACCCGAACCGGTAAAGGTGCATGGGTTCTCACGGATGTGGGAAAGGCCCTTCACACATGACAGGAGGGTGTCCCCTTGATTCCTGCCGCCCTGGTGTTAACCAGTGGGCGAAGGGGGAAACGCTTCGGATGAACCGTTGCGAATAACTCCCCCCCATGGCATACTAAGCCGCCTTGAGGTACTAGGCTCCGCCGCGCCCCGCGGGGCTCATAACCTGACAAAGGACGATCGCGAGTATAGCATAGAAGTCTATGAAAGCGCGAACTCACCGGGCAGTTAGTTGTTGAAGGTTGAGTTAGTAGCTGGTTAGGCTGGTAGCTGACGATGGTAGTCGTTCGGTGGAGAGAGAAGACTTAAATGATATTCATGGTAGCGACTGTATA